TCCTCACTTGAATACGTTGGGGGATGATCATTTTTTGACTAAAATGAAAGACTAGTTAACGATTAAACAGTAAGCACATTTTTGGAACGTTGTTTATATGAGTTGTTACATGGACTATTCCCAAGTTTTGGGAGATCTCTTGTCTTTGTGAGTTTCAGGTAAAGTTATGCACTAAACTGTAAAAGGTAATTAGATGAAATAGATTGGAAATGGTTTTTCTATGCTTTCTGTTAATGGTTATAACAACGAAATGGCAGTAATTGTTGGAAAATTACAAGAAACAAAGAAAGGCTTCTTCCAAATTTTGAAGGAGATGCAAAAACTGAGCAGAAATATCACAACAAATGACGAACCCTTTTTGAAAACGGTCAGTTTCAGAATAGCAACATACTTCACAACTATTACGAAAAGAAGAGAAAACAGCAGCACAGGACAAATAAATACGCTGCACCACCTGTGAACCTCGTAAGCTCCGCGCTTCGTGAGAGAATAATGAATAACAGCATACAGTTTTAGCACGACAGTACAACACAAGAAGATGCGCCAAATTTATATGGATTTACTAAAAGCCAGAGGTCTTCCAATTTTAAGGTATGCTGAAGTACCTCTATGGAATATAAAGTGGCATTGCCACTTTGTGAGTCGAGAACAAAGCTAAAGTTTAAAAACAGCTCTTGCACAAATACTTATGCTTACAGGTCAGCCGCGACCCTGAAGAGGACCGTCAAGTAATCGCTGGAATTCCGGATTTAAGTGGGTTGAAAGCCTTGCTTTGATTTACTGAAGATCTAAATGAAATCTCAAACAATGCTTGTGGATATACTAAATCAGACATTCAATCTACTGAACTCATCTTTACATGCAATTTGAGGCTAATATTCGAGACAAGCTTTGCTGCCAATTCAAGTGCACCAAATTCTTTTCTGAAAGCCATTACTCTATGCCTCTTTTTTAAGACCTTCTTTTTCCAATGATTTCTTCAATACGATGTATCCAATCATAATTCATTACCGTTAAAACAAAAATATGAACCTCTCTTTTCTCGTTCACAAGTCAGACACTTTTTCATGAGAAAACCAATGCTGACAACTCAGGAAAAATTCCACAAGAAAAATTGGAAAACTTGATTTTAAATCCAAAATTTATTGTATTGCAAGGTTTGTAATCGTTCCGCGAACTAAAGTAAGAAGCTAGCTTTAACCAAATCTAATCTTTGTAACCACAGAATTGCTTTTTTATACCATTTTTTGAAAAAAGTAGTTTGAGAAATGAAAGAGAACTCCGCTGGAGATTTCGTTTGCCATTTTTTTGCTATAATGATGATTTGCATTGGAACGCGAGAGTACCGCATTTAAGAAAAAGTTGAAGGAATTCTACCAACTACGATTGACAAAAGTCATTTTTAGATGATCCTTGTTTTCGCCGCTACGTTAACTGTATCATCGTCAACGCGCAGCCCTATGAAAGGAGGTCGAATAAAGAAATTTTCGCTATTGTTAGCTAACCCTGGAAGATTCTTTTTAGATCATCATTATCGCTGATAAGCTGTAAGTCGTACTGTCTTCAAAGTCAAATAGGAACGTATAGCTGTCGTTCGTTTGTCTACGACAACATCAACCAGGTGTGCCAACACTCACAGAATTTTTTCAAAGCATGGATACGTGTCTTCTAGGTGTGCGACCTCTTCGCTCATGCCGGAGATCAAGCTCCAGCGCGATTGCTGAAATTTCAAAGTCGAGATTATTTTGAACCAACTAATGCGTATCAGTGCTTAAAGTGAGTGAGACACTTGCACCTTATTTGAATGGATATAGTAATGTTGAGAGCTCTGCAGTGGGATGTAATCTAGTTGGCTTTCTGATCGCTCTTACTCAACAGAGCTCATATGGACGCTTATAGCTTTCCTACTGCGTCAACGACATTTGCTCCCGAAGCTTTGACGACCGAAAGTATAGCTGTAGCAACTTTACCTCCTCGGCCGTCATTACCTGTCGACCAAGGTTAAATTTACTGCTTTAGCATAAAAACACTTCTGACAGCTGTTCGGTTCAGTGGTGGCACACGCATCGCAGCTGGATCATCGTGAATCTGAGGAGGTAGTGAAAACCACGGATACGGATGCGCTGATAGAACAGAAATCCATTGAAAGCACTACAACTGCACCATATTGTCCTCCAGGGAAGAAAATCAGGTAGGGGTTGATTAGACAGTTCCAATAATTTGTTTTTAGCAAACCAA